TTCTGCAATTTGGAAAAATTAGGGTTTCAAAAATTTGTTAGTTTCAGTGAATCCCTCTTTCGAAGTATGTTCACGCCACAGAGGAAACCGTGGATGTCTCCGGCGACGACGCCGAGGATCGAAACCCATAAAATCGGCGGTGTTTCTAACCCTAGAACCGTTGATAGAAAGGGAAAGAAGGTTGCGTTTAGCGAGGACCCAGTAGCTTCGACTCTTCCGCCGCCTCCGATTGGAACGCTGACCGGAGAAGAATTTTCCAGAGGTATGGCTGATGATATGGATATGGGTGATTGGAGAAGGTTTAGGGAAGTGGGTTTGTTGAACGAAGCTTCAATGGATAAGAAAGATCGTGAAGCGCTTCTTGAAAAGGTTTCAACACTCGAAAAGGAGGTAATTTTTATGAAATTTGTGTATAATTTGATTGTTCTGTTTCTGGGTTTTGCTATAAGAAAGTTAAAATGAATTCTTTTGATTCCTTTTAGCAATACAAGTTTAGTGACTTCAAATTTTAGAATTTTATTCATAATGGTTATCCTGTGCAGTTATATGGCTACCAGCACAATATGGGGCTACTTCTGATGGAGAACAAAGAGTGGGTTTCAAAGCATGAACAACTGAATCAGGCATTTGAAGAAGCTCAAGAAATCCTCAAAAGGGAACAGTCATCACATTTGTACGCATTGACTACTGTTGAACAACGTGAAGAAAACTTGAGAAACGCCTTGGGTTTGGAAAAGCAATGTGTGGAAGAGGTAACACTACTTTAGCTTTTAACATTATGGTTTCGACATGTTTGCTCTTTAATAGTGTGAAAGGTTTATCTACTTATGTTATGCATTGATTTTTGGGTCGTCCTTAGACATGGTATTCTTTTCTGTGCATTAGTTTAGACATTTTACTTTGTTTGTGTTCTGAGTTTATCTTAGATATACAGAATTTGATTTTATTGTTGTTTGCAGCTTGAAAAGGCTCTTCGTGCAATTCAGGAAGAGAATAGCAAGATTAGGCTCACTTCTGAAGCTAAATTAGCTGAAGCAAATGCTCTGGTTGCCAGTGTTAATGGGAGATCCTCAGATGTGGAAAACAAGATTTATTGTGCTGAAAGCAAACTGGCAGAGGCAACTAGAAAGAGCTCTGAGTTGGAAATGAGATTGAAGGAAGTGGAGACTCGTGAGAGTGTCCTGCGACAAGAGCGGCTTTCATTTACTAAAGAGTAAATATAGATATTTGTTATACGACTGCAAAACTCAATTCTTATTGTTTAGTCTTACATGTATGTTATTGCACCACAGGCGAGAATCATATGATGGGGTTTTCCACAAGCAAAGAGAGTACCTTCGTGAATGGGAGAAAAAGCTTCAAGAAAAGGAAGAATCGTTGCCTGAACAGAAGAGAAACCTGAATCAAAGAGAAGAAAAGGTTAATGAACAAGAAAAAAAACTGAAGCTGAAGGCAAAAGAACTTGAAGAATTGGATAGGAAGGTTGATTTGTCTATGTCGAAAGTGAAGGAAACTGAAAAGGATATGAATAAGCGATTGGAAGAATTGACGGCAAAAGAGAAAGTGAGTTTATAACTTATTGAAAATTGCTTCTTTCGACCGTGTTTTTTCTTATACAGACTTTTTTTGTGGTTGATTTACTCTAGGAAGCTCACACACTCCAGAGCATGCTAGTGGCAAAGGAGAAGGAGTTACGAGCATTTGAAGAGAAGCTCATTGCTAGAGAAGGGGTAAGTTTTAAGGGTACAGCCTTTGTAGTCCTGGTCCAGTGTTGTGCTATAGAAATACATATTAAAAAAGTTTAAAGTAACAGTGAAACTCATCATGTGATTGCAAGGCTTCTTTCTCTATTTAGTTCTTGATTCACCCTTTTCGTTTATCCCTTTGAACTGGGAATCATTATTATGTTAATAGATTTCATTGATTCTGAATTCAATTATTGGAGCTCGGTTTTTTTCTTTTTTTAAACAGACAGAAATTCAGAAGCTTATTGATGATCAGAAGGAGGCATTAGCTACTAAGATGCTGGAATTTGAACTGGAATGTGAAGAAAAAAGAAAATCTCTGGACAAGGAACTCCAAAAAAAGATAGAAGAAGTTGAACGACAGAAAGTTGAAATTAATCATAGCGAGGAGAAGTTGCAGAAAAGGAATCAAGCAATGAATAAAAAGTTTGACCGAGTGAATGAAAAGGAGATGGACCTTGAAGCAAAGTTGAAAACTATTAAAGAAAAAGAAAAAACTATACAAGCTGAGGAGAAAAAGTTAAGTTTGGAAAAGCAACAGTTACTTTCTGATAAGGAGAGCCTGAAGGATTTACAACAAGAGATTGATAACATCCGAGCTGAGATGATTAAAAAGGAGGAAATGATTCAAGAAGAACTCGAAAGTCTTGAAATCAAGAAAGAAGAGAGGGAAGAATACCTGAGACTGCAATCTGAACTCAAGTCCCAGATAGAGAAATCAAGACTCCATGAAGAGTTTCTTTCTAAGGAAGTTGAAAATCTGAAGCAAGAGAAAGAGAGATTTGAAAAGGAGTGGGAAATATTGGATGAGAATCAGGCAGAATATGATAAAGAGCTAATGAGAATTTCTGAAGAAAAAGCAAAGTTTGAGAGGTTTCAACTTCTGGAAGGAGAGAGACTGGAGAAAGAAGAGAGTGCTTTGAGGGCTCAGATAAAGCAGGAATTGGATGATATTAGACTGCAGAGAGAATCATTTGAAACCAATATGGAACGTGAACGCTCAGCTTTACTTGAAAAAGCCAAACTTGAGCATTCTAAGGTGCTTGATGATCTTGAAATGATGAGAAGGAATCTTGAAATTGAACAACAGAAAAGAAAAGAACAAGGCGAGAAAGATCTACAAGACAAACTTGCTCAGTTTGAGGTGAAAAGAATGAAAGAGCTTAGTGATATCAATCAGCGGAAGCAGGCTTTGAATAGGGAGATGGAAGAAATGGTGTCCAAAAGGAGTGCTCTCCAGAAGGAAAGTGAAGAAATTGCAAAGCACAAGGAGAAACTGAAAGAGCAGCAAGTGGAGATGCATAATGACATTAGTGAACTAAGTACACTCAGCATCAAC